CAAATCATTGGAGGGCGACGGAAGACGTTGGTGAGACACCTGAAAAGTAGTTTAAAACACACAATAAACTCAAAATTTTTAGCCAACGTTCAGTTTTGTTCACATGACAGTTACAACAAAGACGGTTCATGTGTATGTGATGTTGACTACACGGGTAACTTTTGTTTGAATCGAAAATGTCGAAGCTTTGGATTCGATGGATACCTGCCAAAGAATCCGGTAAAAGTGGATCGTTGTATTTGCCCACCAGGATTTCTAGGAAGAAATTGTGAACCAGGTTTGTGTCTACGCTGGTGATTCTTTGTTTTGAAAAATGTGTTTTAGTGTCCTGTGTGTCCGGAAAGAGCCAAGTTTACTCAAGTTTGAAAACTGAAAAAACCATTTCTCTACTTGCTTCATACAACGTAAAATTGCAAAAAATCTGGGAAAATGGAGATATCGGACAATTGATTTGCAACGAAACTGACTACGCAAGAAACTTCAATTACAATTATGAGAATGCCACTCTTTACACAGTAAGAAGCATCATAGTTTGAAGCGATACTGAGATTTTGGAATTTTTCAGAAAAACGAAAATAGTTTATCTTGTGTCGCCAAGCTCAACCAATACTTAACTGCTGACAGTTGTACAGACGATGATGAGAAACCAATTGCTTGCATTCCATTGGATATCAACAATTTGAACTCAATTGTTCAATATTCACCTCCAAATTCAATTGTTAGTTATTCTTGTTTTGGAAAAAGTTTCTAGGACAACTTGCTCTAAACAATTTTCCTTTTTTGGGAAAATGCGTTCCCAAAATTTTTCTCAAAGTATTTTTCCGAAAATTCTTTGGGGAATGGATAACTTTCAAATTGCTTTTTCACGGTGTTGTTTTGATTGAATTTTCAAAATACTGAAAAAACAGTAAAAAATTGGCAAAATTAGGTAGAGAAATTTTCAAAAAAAAGGATACGGTAATGTTAACGTTTTTCTGATGAAATATATTAATTATAATCAACCGTAGGAAAAATGTTCCAAGAAACTGCAAAAAAACGGAATTCTCCATTTTCTGATTCAAACAATCATTTTTTGTTATTAGTCAAAACAATATCTAATACCAACTTTTCAGGTTTTCGTGGTTACCAATATGGCTGTCAGTTCTATAACCGGCGATATTGTTGAAGATATCATTGCTACTTCGATTGCCCGCAGAATTCAGGTACAATGTCCCATATTTCAGAAGTTCAAGTTATTTTTTGCAGATCAATGTTCTTGTCTACAACAACACCGGATTCCAGGCTGATGACCCGAGTCTGGCAACTCTGAGTAACATTGCAGCTGCTACTCTCGGTCAATATATCTTGCCAAGTATCGAAAATGGCAATGAGCAATATGCAGTAAGTAAAGTAATGGTTAATACGGAATAATTGTTTTCAATAGATTGTAAATGCTCTTTTGGAAAATTGGGATCAAGGCTATCAACCGACCAAAGTTTTCACAGGTGGAATCAAAACCTTACCTGTTGATACTTCAAAAGATATCTACGTGGCAGCTCAGTTGAGCTATGGACAAAGTACGATATTTCACACATTTTATGAACGAAATTTTACATTTTTGCAGACGCTGTTTTCAGTGTGGATTTACCGCCAACTGTTGTTCAAAAAACCGACTTCTGGAAACTTTATAAGTTCGTCTAATTAAAAGGAATAATTAAAAACAAGCGACTTTTAGGTTGACTGCCGGATCGTCCACCCACAGCTTTCAGCGTCTAACCAGACCTCTGACACGCCGATTATTGTTTATACCACCGGAGATCTCGTCGCTTATTCTGCTTTCACAAGTGATGAAAACAGAACTGCAGATGTTGTTGATAGTGCATTCAGTGTTTCTGTCAATCGTGTGTTTCGAAAAATAAGTCATTTGTAATTGTGTTCATTCAGAAACATCTTACTCGATGGTGGTGAAGCTGGAATCTGAAAACGCTCCAGTAGACTACGAAGCAGGTTACAGAACAATCGGCAACCCGAGCTCAATTTCTCTTGACACAACATTCCATAATCGAGCCTTCTGTCAGTTTAATTTCATCGTCAAAGCCAATTGTAAGTCTGTCGGCGCATCTGTTGTTACTGTAAGTTTCATTTTCCAAAAATCACATTTCTAAAACATTTCATTTCAGATGATCACCGCGAACAATCGAAATTCGGTCTCCTTCCCCGTCTATTGTGCTAGTTTCAGCTATGCCAGTGAGTGATTTCGGAAAACGTGTGTTTTGATATTTCATGTGTTTAGAAAAAATCTACAACAATTTTGCTGCTGAAACACAAAATATGAGACAATTAGAGTTCGAGCAGTCTTTTTCAAAAGGTTGGTTTTTTATTTTACCGAATATTTTGAAAGTATAATTTTTTAGACTTTGCCTGTGGTTCTGACATTGCTCCCGAGAAAACAGGAGAACGCAGTTTCATTATTGTCGCTGAGAATAGCAATGACACTAATGTAACCAAGTAAGCTTTGAAACAACTGAAAAAATTTTAAAAAATTCTCATTTTAGATCTTCTGTTGATAACTTGTTCCGCAACAAAAACAGTTTCTTCTATCAGCTCATTGACCCACTAACGTTAGTTCCGTCGTCCCGATACTCCAATTTCCTAGCCGTACTGACAAATGGAGAAACCTATCAAATCAAACAGGTTAGTTGAGGACAAAATTTCATTTTCCATGTTAATTCTACAGCATACTGATTACGGAAAGTTCATGACAAAAGTTCTGAGTTATACTAACACTTCATCATCTGGCGCAGATGTTTCTGTGCCAATATCTGTGAAAGACATGTTAGTTGACGCCATCGAAAACGGTTCACTATACTCAGGTGCGTGTTTTATTTTCGGAGTTTCCAAATTCAATTCATTGATTTTTAGATATTCTGTTTGTTGTTAACTTTAATGTGAGAATGAGTGCTGATGATTCTCTTGCAATTAAAACTGCATTAGGAACAAAGAGATCTAAGGTAATAACATGGGGAGACCAAAACACTCCTGGAAAAATAATTTTTATCGGGACGACGGAACTAACGTTATTTTTATCGGGACGACGGAACTAACGTTATTTTTTTCAGTTGTTTGTTCTATTTGTGCAAAGTTACACGCAATATGGATCCGATGTTTATCAATACATGAACGACTTGGCAATTGCCAGTGGTGGTATTGCTGTCCGACTAGATAACTATGATGAATTGCATACGGTATTACTACAATTAAGCTATTGTGAAAGAAAATCGATTTTTCCAGTTCTTCACGTTATATTTCCCCACACTTATTGCCAATGATATTGTTGCAAAAGCATACTCAAGTGATACAAAACCTGGAATTGCTCTGAACAACGTTTATTTGCAAGAGCAAAAATATTATCTTCTGTTGACAAACGAAGATTCAAGTGAAGATGGACCAGTTAATGGTGAGCAGATAATTGTCTAATAAAATGAATAATTGAATGTGCAGGCACTATACAAAACGAGAACATTAGTGTAGCATCCACCCAAACTATTGGAGAACTTCAATTGTTGACTATTCAACCACAGTCTGCCGGTGTCTATAATATACCAATTCGATTTGCCACCCCTGCAAAAATTGTGAGCTTCACTTATGTTAG